TCCGTAGCTCTGTTCCCCGCCAGCGTCTCCCGTCTCCCTATCGAACCGCCGACTGCACCCTGAACAGCTGATCAGGCACCGGGGGGAGCGGGGCCAAGTGCCTTTGCCTCGTTAACAGTGGGGGCCCTGATGGGAAAGGGCTGGAGGACCCGCCCCCCCGCTCCAAAACCCGGAGTTTAGCTGCCCCGTCACCGTGTCGGCCATGCCGGTTCCAGTGCCCGTCTGCGGCGTGCCGCTCTGCTGACAAACGTGGTGCAGTTTGTCTCACTGAACGTCCGTCGGTCTCAGGCTCCTACGTGGCTTCGGGCCAGCTGCTTGAAGCAACGTAGCTGCCCGAAGGCACAGATGGCACCTAATGGGATTTTCCCACGCGCCTAACTCCCATTGATTGCCCTAGGAATTAGGCACCTGTCTGTCTCCCATCTTGCGGTGCCTGCCTGCCTTTGACAGCCTGGCCCTGGGGTGCTCTGGGACGTTTTATCCCCTCCCCTGGCTCCAGAAGTGAGGAGATTCCTTGGGGTGGGCCATGGGCTGTGTAATTGGTTCTACTCAGGGGGATGAGAAGAGGAGCTGGTCTCAAACGATACAGTGAGCGTCAGTCACTGCCCATTGCCTTTGGGGCAACACAGAAACACGCCAGTGAGCTCAGTCGTCATTTATTGTGACTTGGTGCGATACAAGAGTGAAGCAGAGACCCCGCCGGGCGCCCAGGGCTGCATGTCTGCTGCAGAGCAGAGCTCTCATTTCGCCCAGCCAGGGCCCGAAAGGCCTGGTCGTGCAGCCAAAACCCTCGCCATGCCCCTACAAGTCACGGCAAGCGGGATGGCAAGATCCAGGCAGCTCTGGGTGATACTTGACAGCAGTTCACATAGGGACCCAGGAGCACTGTGCTGTCCGTGGTCTAAGCAGCACAAATAGACCCAAAGACTGATCGATCCAACCGGTAAGGAGGCGGAGATGCTATAGACGTGTATGCATGGAAGATGGGGTGTCTGTAGACAGAGAGGTTCATAGAGGGGATACCTAGAGAGGTGGCTACGCTAGAGTCGATCTAGTAGGTGACTAGATACAATAGCAAGACAGAGCTCACACGTATTAGTCATTACACCCCTGACACCAAAGAGCCACGAGAAACCAAGCAGGAACTTCACCCAAGAGCACAGCACCCACCAGCCCCGTGTGCTGGACACATCTCTGCCAGGACTGGTTCACCTGCTCACATGCACCCAGGAACCCTACAAAGGCTGGAAGGAAAATGTGGGGATGAGGTTTTGGAAGGGACCCAGGAAAGATCGGTGGGTGGAAGCCCATGCATTCCACTGGGGAAAGTGGGCACCGCTGCAGGTTCCACGCTCTGTCGGCCGGAGAAAGTGGGCACTGCTGCAGGTTCCACGCTCTGTCGGCCGGAGAAAGTGGGCACTGCTGCAGGTTCCACGCTCTGTCGGCCGGAGAAAGTGGGCACTGCTGCAGGTTCCACGCTCTGTCGGCCGGAGAAAGTGGGCACTGCTGCAGGTTCCACGCTCTGTCGGCCGGAGAAAGTGGGCACTGCTGCAGGTTCCACGCTCTGTCGGCCGGAGAAAGTGGGCACTGCTGCAGGTTCCACGCTCTGTCGGCCGGAGAAAGTGGGCACTGCTGCAGGTTCCACGCTCTGTCGGCCGGAGAAAGTGGGCACTGCTGCAGGTTCCACGCTCTGTCGGCCGGAGAAAGTGGGCACTGCTGCAGGTTCCACGCTCTGTCGGCCGGAGAAAGTGGGCACTGCTGCAGGTTCCACGCTCTGTCGGCCGGAGAAAGTGGGCACTGCTGCAGGTTCCACGCTCTGTCGGCCGGAGAAAGTGGGCACTGCTGCAGGTTCCACGCTCTGTCGGCCGGAGAAAGTGGGCACTGCTGCAGGTTCCACGCTCTGTCGGCCGGAGAAAGTGGGCACTGCTGCAGGTTCCACGCTCTGTCGGCCGGAGAAAGTGGGCACTGCTGCAGGTTCCACGCTCTGTCGGCCGGAGAAAGTGGGCACTGCTGCAGGTTCCACGCTCTGTCTGCCGGAGAAAGCGGGCACCGCTGCAGGTTCCACGCTCTGTCGGCCGGAGAAAGTGGGCACTGCTGCAGGTTCCACGCTCTGTCTGCCGGAGAAAGCGGGCCCCGCTGCAGGTTCCACGCTCTGTCGGCCGGAGAAAGTGGGCACTGCTGCAGGTTCCACGCTCTGTCTGCCGGAGAAAGCGGGCCCCGCTGCAGGTTCCACGCTCTGTCGGCCGGAGAAAGTGGGCACTGCTGCAGGTTCCACGCTCTGTCTGCCGGAGAAAGCGGGCCCCGCTGCAGGTTCCACGCTCTGTCGGCCGGAGAAAGTGGGCACTGCTGCAGGTTCCACGCTCTGTCTGCCGGAGAAAGCGGGCCCCGCTGCAGGTTCCACGCTCTGTCGGCCGGAGAAAGTGGGCACTGCTGCAGGTTCCACGCTCTGTCTGCCGGAGAAAGCGGGCCCCGCTGCAGGTTCCACGCTCTGTCGGCCGGAGAAAGTGGGCACTGCTGCAGGTTCCACGCTCTGTCTGCCGGAGAAAGCGGGCCCCGCTGCAGGTTCCACGCTCTGTCGGCCGGAGAAAGTGGGCACTGCTGCAGGTTCCACGCTCTGTCTGCCGGAGAAAGCGGGCCCCGCTGCAGGTTCCACGCTCTGTCGGCCGGAGAAAGTGGGCACTGCTGCAGGTTCCACGCTCTGTCTGCCGGAGAAAGCGGGCCCCGCTGCAGGTTCCACGCTCTGTCGGCCGGAGAAAGTGGGCACTGCTGCAGGTTCCACGCTCTGTCTGCCGGAGAAAGCGGGCCCCGCTGCAGGTTCCACGCTCTGTCGGCCGGAGAAAGTGGGCACTGCTGCAGGTTCCACGCTCTGTCTGCCGGAGAAAGCGGGCCCCGCTGCAGGTTCCACGCTCTGTCGGCCGGAGAAAGTGGGCACTGCTGCAGGTTCCACGCTCTGTCTGCCGGAGAAAGCGGGCCCCGCTGCAGGTTCCACGCTCTGTCGGCCGGAGAAAGTGGGCACTGCTGCAGGTTCCACGCTCTGTCTGCCGGAGAAAGCGGGCCCCGCTGCAGGTTCCACGCTCTGTCGGCCGGAGAAAGTGGGCACTGCTGCAGGTTCCACGCTCTGTCTGCCGGAGAAAGCGGGCCCCGCTGCAGGTTCCACGCTCTGTCGGCCGGAGAAAGTGGGCACTGCTGCAGGTTCCACGCTCTGTCTGCCGGAGAAAGCGGGCCCCGCTGCAGGTTCCACGCTCTGTCGGCCGGAGAAAGTGGGCACTGCTGCAGGTTCCACGCTCTGTCTGCCGGAGAAAGCGGGCCCCGCTGCAGGTTCCACGCTCTGTCGGCCGGAGAAAGTGGGCACTGCTGCAGGTTCCACGCTCTGTCTGCCGGAGAAAGCGGGCCCCGCTGCAGGTTCCACGCTCTGTCGGCCGGAGAAAGTGGGCACTGCTGCAGGTTCCACGCTCTGTCTGCCGGAGAAAGCGGGCCCCGCTGCAGGTTCCACGCTCTGTCGGCCGGAGAAAGTGGGCACTGCTGCAGGTTCCACGCTCTGTCTGCCGGAGAAAGCGGGCCCCGCTGCAGGTTCCACGCTCTGTCGGCCGGAGAAAGTGGGCACTGCTGCAGGTTCCACGCTCTGTCTGCCGGAGAAAGCGGGCCCCGCTGCAGGTTCCACGCTCTGTCGGCCGGAGAAAGTGGGCACTGCTGCAGGTTCCACGCTCTGTCTGCCGGAGAAAGCGGGCCCCGCTGCAGGTTCCACGCTCTGTCGGCCGGAGAAAGTGGGCACTGCTGCAGGTTCCACGCTCTGTCTGCCGGAGAAAGCGGGCCCCGCTGCAGGTTCCACGCTCTGTCGGCCGGAGAAAGTGGGCACTGCTGCAGGTTCCACGCTCTGTCTGCCGGAGAAAGCGGGCCCCGCTGCAGGTTCCACGCTCTGTCGGCCGGAGAAAGTGGGCACTGCTGCAGGTTCCACGCTCTGTCTGCCGGAGAAAGCGGGCCCCGCTGCAGGTTCCACGCTCTGTCGGCCGGAGAAAGTGGGCACTGCTGCAGGTTCCACGCTCTGTCTGCCGGAGAAAGCGGGCCCCGCTGCAGGTTCCACGCTCTGTCGGCCGGAGAAAGTGGGCACTGCTGCAGGTTCCACGCTCTGTCTGCCGGAGAAAGCGGGCCCCGCTGCAGGTTCCACGCTCTGTCGGCCGGAGAAAGTGGGCACTGCTGCAGGTTCCACGCTCTGTCTGCCGGAGAAAGCGGGCCCCGCTGCAGGTTCCACGCTCTGTCGGCCGGAGAAAGTGGGCACTGCTGCAGGTTCCACGCTCTGTCTGCCGGAGAAAGCGGGCCCCGCTGCAGGTTCCACGCTCTGTCGGCCGGAGAAAGTGGGCACTGCTGCAGGTTCCACGCTCTGTCTGCCGGAGAAAGCGGGCCCCGCTGCAGGTTCCACGCTCTGTCGGCCGGAGAAAGTGGGCACTGCTGCAGGTTCCACGCTCTGTCTGCCGGAGAAAGCGGGCAGCGCTGCAGGTTCCACGCTATGGCCATTCCTGGTGCGGTGGTGCGAGGTAAAGCTGCTTCTCCACGGTCTGCTCCAGCAGGTAGACATAGAGTGGGCTGCAGGGCAGGCAGGCTTTGGCATCCTCTGCACCTGTCTCATCCGGCTCCTCCTGGGAGCTTGCAGACTCAGGGTGGCTCTGGCTCCACTCGCCTTCTTGGGGCGCCTCTCCCAGCCACGGCTGAAGCTCGCTGGCCTGAGGGCTGCTCCTCTTGCTTGCGTGTTCCTGAGGCTCCTTTGGACAAGGGAGGCTCCTGTTGGCTAGTGGAGGCTCAGTGTCCAGCGGGAGGCAGCTCCTGTCGCCCCCTGGTGGCCGCTGAGGACGGCTCCCTTCCCGTTGTCCTTCCAGGTCACATGGCTGGTGCTGGCTCCCCGTCGCTGCTCGCGGCTCAGACTCTGGTGTCTCCCTGAGGATCCCATCGCCCTCCCTGTGTTCTGGTTCACGGAGCTGAGGCTGGCTGGTCTCCCCTGGCTATGTCTAGAGGGAGCCGTCCCAAGGCTGAAGTGGGATGCCCACCTCTCCAGTGGGTGAAGGCTTGGGCATGGCAGGGCATCTCGTGTAGTCCCCTGGGGCGTCAGCATCACGCTGGGTCCCCACATCCTCCCGCGCTTCAGGCTCCCTCCACAGAGGCAAATGCCCCTTCTCCTGCTCTGGCTCATGACTCCCTGGCTGCTGCTGGCTCACCTCTTCCACCCCAGCTTCAGGCTCAGGTGGCTGATGGCAGCGCCTCTGTTCCTCTCGAGGTTCAGGCTCACGTGGCTGACGGTGGCTGCTCTCTTCCTCTCTGGGTTCAGGCTTATTTGGCTGCTGGTGACTTCTCTCTCCCTCCTTAGGTTCCAGCTCATGTGGCTGATGGAAGCTCTGCTCGTCCTTTCTAGGTTCAGGGTCAAGTGGCTGATGGTGGCTCTGCTCGTCCTTTCTAGGTTCAGGGTCAAGTGGCTGATGGTGGCTCTGCTCGTCCTTTCTAGGTTCAGGGTCAAGTGGCTGATGGTGGCTCTGCTCGTCCTTTCTAGGTTCAGGGTCAAGTGGCTGATGGTGGCTCTGCTCGTCCTTTCTAGGTTCAGGGTCAAGTGGCTGATGGTGGCTCTGCTCGTCCTTTCTAGGTTCAGGGTCTGGCTGATGGAGGCTCTTCTCTTCCCCTCTGGGTTCCGGCTCACGTGGCTGATGGAGGCTCTGCTCATCCTCTCTATGTTCAAAGTCACGTGGCCGGTGGCGCCTCTCTTCCCCTCTGAGTTCAGGCTCATGTGGCCGATGGAGGCTCTGCTCTTCCTCCCTAGGTTCAGGGTCAAGAGGCTGTCGGTAGCTCCGCTCTTCTCTGAGTTCAGGCTCGTGTGGCTTATGGAGGCTCCTCTCTTTCTCGGTTGTTTCTGGCTCATGTGGCTGACGGTGGCTCCTCTCTTCCCCTCTGGGTTCAGGTTCCCGTGGCTGATGGAGGCTCTGCTCTTCCTCTCTAGGTTCAGGCTCATGTGGCTGACGGTGGCTCCTTTCTTCCCCTTTGGGTTCCAGCTCATGTGGCTGATGGAGGCTCTGCTCAGCCTCTCTAGGTTCAAACTCACTTGGCTGGTGGCGCCTCTCTTCCTCTCTGGATTCAGGCTCACGTGGCAGATGGAGGCTCCTCTTGTCCTTTCTGGGATGTGTCTGACGGCAGCTCCTCTCACCCTCTCTAGGTTCAGGGTCACAAGGCTGACGGTGGCTCTTGTCATCCTCTCTGGGTTCAGGCTGCCATGGCTGCCGTGGGCTACTACCATCCTCTCTGGATTCCGGCTCACGTGGCAGATGGAGGCTCCTCTTGTCCTCTCTGAGACGTGGCTGATGGCAGCTCCTCTCTCCCTCTCTAGGTTCAGGGTCACAAGGCTGATGGTGGCTCTTGTCATCCTCTCTGGGTTCAGGCTGCCATGGCTGCCGTGGGCTACTACCATCCTCTCTGGATTCCGGCTCACGTGGCAGATGGAGGCTCCTCTTGTCCTCTCTGGGACGTGGCTGATGGCAGCTCCTCTCTCCCTCTCTAGGTTCAGGGTCACAAGGCTGATGGTGGCTCTTGTCATCCTCTCTGGGTTCAGGCTGCCATGGCTGCCGTGGGCTACTACCATCCTCTCTGGATTCAGGCTCATGTGGCAGATGGAGGCTCCTCTTGTCCTCTCTGGGACGTGGCTGATGGCAGCTCCTCTCTCCCTCTCTAGGTTCAGGGTCACAAGGCTGACGGTGGCTCTTGTCATCCTCTCTGGGTTCAGGCTCACGTGGCTGACGGCAACTCCACTTATCCACTCTCAGTTCAGGTTCCCATGACTGATAGTGACTTCTCTCATCCCTTCGCAGCTTAGGCTGCCCTGGTTGATTGTGTCGTTTGTCATTCCTTCTGTACTCAGTCTCACATCTTTCATGAGAATATCTGTCATCCCCTTGGTGTTCTGGGGAATTTGGTTGATGGTGGCGCCTCTTTGCCCCTTGTGATTTAGGTGCATGTCTTTCCGAATGACTCATTTTGTCTTCTCGTGTTCCAGATTCCCGTCGCTGGGGACAGTGTTCGTCACGGTTTCTACGTTGCAATATGTGTCTGTCATAGAGGCGTGTCTCATCCTCTCGTGGTTGAGTTTCATGGGACTGATGGGAAGTTCCGTCGTTCTCTCTCAGTTCAGCAGCGTCTGTTTCGTAGTGGTGTCTCTCAGCCCCTCGTAGTTCAGGCTCACGTGGCTGATGACGGCTTTCTTCCCTCCTAGCTTCTCGATCACACCTTTCATAACCATGCCTCTCATCCCTTCGCTGCTCAGGTCTACTTGGCTGATAGTGGGTCTTCGCACCACCTCGTGGTTTCTGTTCTCTGGGCCAGTAGTGACTCTTACCACCCTCGATTGGTTCTTGCTCAGAGCGTCTCCTCTCATAACCTTGTGGCTCAGGCTCACGTGGCTGATGGGAGCTTCTGTCATCACCTCGCCATTCAGGATCATGCAGATGCTGCTGCCTCCTGTCTACCTCCCGTCTCTCGTGGTCACGTATCCCATAGTGGCGCCACTCATCCTTTTGTATCTCAGGCTGTCGTGGCTGAGGGTGGTGTCTCTCTTCCTCTCTTGCTTCAGGCTCACATGCTCCAGCCCAGCTCCTCTCAGCCCCTTGTGGTTCAGATTCACGTGGCTGATGGTGCCTTCTGTCATTCTCTCTCTCTTCAGATACACGTATTTCATGGCAGCGTCTCTCATCCCCTTGTGGCTTAGGCTCACGTGGCTGATGGCGGTATCTCTCTTCCTCCATTGGTTCAGGCTCATGTGGTTCATAGCACCAGCTTTCAGCCCCTCGTGGCTCCGGTTCATGTGGATGCTCAGATGGCTTAGGTTCATACTCAAATGGCTCACAGCAGCTTCTCTCATCCCCTCGTGGCTCAGACTCACGTGGCTGATGGCGGCGTGTCTCTGCCTCCCTCGGTTCAGGCTCACATGGTTCATAGCTCCAGCTTTCATCCCCTTGCAGCTCCGGTTCACCTCGTTGATGGTGGCTTCTGGAATTTTCTCTAGGTTTAGGCTCATGTATTTTGTGACGACCCCCCTGGTCCCTGCGTGGCTCCGTCTCATGTGGCTGCCAGTGGCTTTTTTCCGTCTCTCTGGCTTCAGGCTCAGGCATTTCGTAGCCTCCCTTCTCACATGGCTGCTCGCAACTCCCCTTGGCTCTTCCTGCTTTGGGCGCTGGGCCCTGCTTCCCACTCATTTCCTTCTCTGCTCTTGGGGGGAGACGTTGTTTTGGCTGCAGGTACCAGTAACAAACCTTTGCCACTCTGAACACCAGCAGCAGGAAATCATTGAAAATCCAGGAGTTGCAGAACTGCCTCTATGGTCGGAGGATCATAGGGGGTCTGCAGGAAAACCACACCAGGGGAATTGGTATTTATCTTGCTGGCCCGTCCCAGCTACACATGCAAAGGCAGATGGGCCACAGTCTCCCTACATCCACCTCCCCACCCTGTTCCCTCTGACCTTTTCCGTCCTTGTGTGGAATAAATTGTTTGTGCACCGAGGCATGTATGGATGTGCACCACTAGGAGAAACAAGCTGTTCTGCTAATCAGCTGGGTGGGACTGGAGTCTCTCCTGAGTGGCCGCACAAAGGCCCAGTGTAACGGCTCCCCACAGCTTCTTCCCTTCTCACCAGCTCCCGCATGCCAGCCCTCTGCACTCCATCCCGTCAGTCATCCCTGGCTGCCAGCCCACCGACTGGGCTCCTCCCCTGGAGTTTATTGTCGGTCACCCGTCCCTGGAGGAGAATCCCACCTCAACCCCACTTCTTCCCTCCACTTCTCTCCCTGGGACATCAAGGTCCCCTCCCCCGCTTCTTTCAGCTTCATGGTCAGTGTTCGTCCAGCCCCGGATGACCCTCCACAGCCGACGTAGGAATCCAGAGGATGTGGATTCATCCGTCCCTTTCAGGCCGAATCTCTCACGCTGCACAAGCTATAGGCTGCATCTAGACTGGCATGATTTTGTGCAAAAGCGGCCACTTTTGGGCAAGATGTTGCCGCCTGTCTACACTTGCCATGAGTATTTGCACAAGAGGACTGACTTTGTAATGTGCAAAATCACACTCCCACTCAGGGATAAGCCCTCTTGTGCAAATATTCTACACTGGCACGGATGTTTTTGCGCAAAAGCAAATCTTTTGCACAAAGGCACATGCCAGTATAGACGCTCTCTTGCACAAATACTTTTAACGGAAAAACTTTTCGGTTAAAAGTATTTGCACAAAATCATGCCAGTCTAGACGCAGCCATGGTGTTTGAGAGAGGAACGGATAACTTGGCTGGTGTTACTGCACATGAGAGCAGAATGGATAACTGTTTTTGCGCAAAAGCAAATCTTTTGCACAAAGGCACATGCCAGTATAGACGCTCTCTTGCACAAATACTTTTAACGGAAAAACTTTTCGGTTAAAAGTATTTGCACAAAATCATGCCAGTCTAGACGCAGCCATGGTGTTTGAGAGAGGAACGGATAACTTGGCTGGTGTTACTGCACATGAGAGCAGAATGGATAACCCGGTGTTACTGGGTGTGAGAGGGGAAC